GTACTTTGTAATATTGGCTCCTTTCGAACAATTAGTTCCATGATCATAAATTTCGCTTCAAGTACATAACGTCACGATATACACATAAATAATAATTTAACAGAGAAAGGATAAAAATAAAAAATAAGTTAATCGCATAAATAAATCAAACCCGTATCTTACGTCGTTATTAATGTTAGTTATGTTACCTTTTAATTACAATACTTGTAACTTAAAACAAAAAACAAGAATGCTAATAATCTTTGGATTGGACGATACCAGGCAAAACAGAGTCGATAATCATGACCGGATTACGAAGAATAGATACAAGGTTAATTCCTCGCGTGCCTTGGTTTGTAACATTTAGTTATAAATTAAAAAGAAAGAAAGATCAAAGAGAAAGATAGAAGAGGGATGAGGCGTATTTAACGTTAATCGGTAGGTAGCAGTGGCGACTCGCGTATAAGCATTATGGAACTGCCTATTTTCACTTGATAATATCGACAACATTTAATATAATGAGGCCTTTTTTCTTTAATTCTTTCTTTAGTATAAAAAAGGGACTCATTATATTAAATGTTATCGATAACATCAAGTTTAACTAGGGGGTCCTATTTTAACTTGATAGGGGGTCCTGCAGTTCCATAATGCCTATACGCGAGCCGCCACTGGTAGGCAGGCAAGATTAATATAAAATATACCAAGTACAGGAAAGAAGAAGATAAAATGTTAAAATAAGAAAGTTAAGAAAAGGCCGGCTAGCGTGTCTAAAGGCGATTGGTACGGGAATAATACCAGGACAGGGCAGGTTGAGTTTGAATGTGTGATTGAGTATGGACATGGTTTTCTACCTTTACGGGACTAGTCCCTGCTGTTAAAAAACTATCCTCCAATGCCATGGATGCCGGTGAAAACAATACCGATGTGTCCAAACTTTTACTCTGTAACATAAAAGAAAAAAAGAGTCAACTAAAAAACAATTTCATAGAGTAATACTTAACTGCAAATTATTATCCATTTGAAAGCGTAAAAATGCACAGAATATATACAACATACAAAAGTATATAAAATATTCATTGTAATATTTAGCAGGTAGAACAATTTTCCACTAAAGTTCCATTTTTAATAAATATTACACGTTAAGTATAGATGTTCAACTTACCGGTGTTTCTACAACGAAACTCATTTCGGAATTATCCTGAGAAGCCCAAGCTTGACAAAGAGCTTTGCGCGCTCTTTTCCCGCCGGGAGCGCTATTTTCTTTACCCCGCCGTCTGATCGTGCTGTAACCAGAGTCCTGAAGGATAGCGCTGGTTCCCGCTAAACCTTCACGATCGGTTTCCTGTTTAATAATTTCGGTCAGAGCGTCCAGACGACTCGGAGTGGCAGGTAACTGAGTAGTCGCGCCACTGCGCCGTTCTAATTCTGCTAACGCATTCTTGAACGGTGTTGGCGTCCTGGGAGTATTGCCATCTGCAACAAAAATGTAATGATAACAACGGCTGTATTATACTGTATTCAACTTCAGAGATTATCAAGAAACAGCAAGCAAAGAAATTTATATTAAAAACCTTTACCATTCTGACTTCTTCGAAGACCAGTAGGTTGTGGTGTGGTGAGTGGACCAGGACTGCTACCTTTAGGAGTACTTGCCCGTGGCCAGGAGGAGGTCTCAGGACTCAGACTATTCAAGAACTGTGACGGACTGAATGGCAGTTGTTTGATGGGCGTAGATGGACTGGTGACACCAGATGGCTGTTGAGTTATTATTAAATACTCAGACTGGTTTACATTCTCAGGTGTTTCCGTCCTCTGCAGAAGTATTTGAGCATTTTTACGCCGACGTAGAATAGGGGGCGGGCTGCTTCTTTCCTTCTCGGCAGCTTCCGACATCTCTTCCAAATCTGGCATGGGCATCAGTCTGATCTCCGAATTCTTTGAACTGGTCGCTTCACTTTGTATTTGCATATCAAAGTATCTATAAAAATCCACGTGTTAATATCCCTTTAAACACTCTGCGAAAACTTTTCAAACTTTTTCAACTATTTTCTAATTTGTGACGTACTTTGTGAAGGGTGAAATTTGTTCAGTCTTGACTCTGGAAGAGGAACTTCCTCTCTTTGAAGGCTCATTGTTGTGCGATCGTTCGTTCAAGTTCAGAAGATTCTGAAAACTTTGCGTGTTTTGCTGATTATCCCAAGCTCTGCTCCAATCCAATTGGTCGATACCCAGAATATGCTGTTGCACAGTAGACAAAGCCGCGGTATTCTCATTGCTCGTCGAATCCATCTTCAGACGACCGTAACCGTCCTCTTCTACACACAGGTTGTTATCTTTAGAGGGCAACGACGATTCCGTGGCTTTTCTCCTACCTCTTCCTATGGAAAGAAAAACTCAATTTCATTAAATGTAATTTCATAAGAGGACATATATATCGACGAGCTGAATCAAGATATATTTTTCTTATTACTAAATTGTCTCATATTTTTGTTAAACATCATCAAGCATAAAAATGTCTGTAAAATATAAAATTATGAAAATAATATGTATGTATTAATAAATATTAATTGTAAAATATGAAAATAAAATGAAAATACTTGAACAGGGAAAAAATATGATTTGTCCAAGTTCACATAAAAATTATGTGAACTTGGACAAATATCTGCAATGTAGCCCTGTTAAAA